ATGGATGAAGAAAGTATGGAATATATACATATTAGAGTACTACTCAGCAGTAAAAGACAATGACTTCTTGAATTTTGCATACAAATGGACAGAAATAGAAAACACTATCCTGAGTGAGGTAAGCCAGACCCAAAAAGAGGAACATGGGATGTACTCACTCATATTTGGTTTCGAGCCACAAATAAAGAACATTGAGCCTATAATTCGTGATTCTAGAGAAGCTAAATAAGAAGGTGAACCCAAAGAAAAACATATAGGCATCCTCCTGAATATTAACCTTCATCAGGAGATGAAAGGAGACAGAGACAGAGACCCACATTGGAGCACCGGACTGAAATCTCAAGGTCCAAATCAGGAGCAGATGGAGAGAGAGAACGAGCAAGGAACTCAGGACCGCGAGGGGTGCACCCACACACTGAGACAATGGGGATGTTCTATAGGGAACTCACCAAGGCCAGCTGGCCTGGGTCTGAAAAAGCATGGGATAAAACCGGACTCGCTGAACATAGGGGACAATGAGGACTACTGAGAACTCAAGAACAATGGCAATGGGTTTTTGATCCTACTGCACGTACAGGCTTTGTGGGAGCCTAGGCAGTTTGGATGCTCACCTTACTAGACCTGGATGGAGGTGGGTGGCCCTTGGACTTCCCACAGGGCAGGGAACCCTGATTGCTCTTTGGGCTGACTAGGGAGGGAGACTTGATGGGGGGAGGTGGGGAGGAGGCAGAAATCTTTAATAAATAAATAAAGATCAGGAAGTTGTAATTCCGGTCCCTCCTCCTGGTCTGCAATCAAAGCTTAGAAGCATCTTCCACAGGACTGGAGCATCTCTCTTGTAGATCAACTCTATCTGTCTGTGAGCGCAAGGTCAAGCAGGGTTTAGAAAGGAAATTGCAGGAAACTGGTTTTGGCTTTGGGCTCAAGCCATGCTTGTCAGTTCATTTTTACTTCTGATATTGATAATTCTCCTGGTCTGACTCCCCATTTAGTACTTGGTTAAAGATTGGTGCCGAGAGGGAATGTGGTGGATTGGGGTTTCTTCATAGCCCTCCAGGCCATTCCTAGGGAAATAGGAGTCTAGGAAAGTAAGAAGCAAGCTTTACCTTCAAGGGACTGAGAGCTGCGTCGGGTTTGTACATGTTCTGCGTCTACCTATACAACATCATTTAGCAGCTGCGTTACACGTTTTCTTCAGTTCCTGCTGATCCATCTGCACTCAGTGTCATGCAGGGAGAGGATCTTGTCCATCACGTAGTCTCAAGCCAGCAAACCAGGAGGTGCAAGTACGTGCTCATAAACACAGGCGAAGCAATGCACACAGAATGTTTCCTCATTCTGACTTCTGAACAGAGCCTCTTTTTGAAAAACAACCTCTATAATTTGCTTTTCAGGCTATAAGTTGATTTCTAGCACAGAACTTGCAGTTCTCATATTCTCAAGTTCTTTGGCACATGCTTCTTTAAAAAAAAAAAAACAAGTTGTGTTTTCGTTCTTAGTTGCCATTTTTACTTTCTGAGTGGGGTGGTAGGGTCTTCCTGTGCCTGCTTAAAATAGAACTTTTCAGATTCGTTTCTCCTTTAGACATACCTTTGCTTCCTACCGCACTTGACTGAGCGTGGGGACAGAGGCTCACAAAGACTCATGCAATCTGCCTGAGATGTTGTTCAAATGGGGACTCCTGTTTAGGGTGTGAAGAGCTCACACTACTAATGAGCTCCCAAGAGATCCTATGCATCTGTCAATATTATCACCCTTTGCTTATGAAGGAAGTGGATGGGGTTTCACCATAAGCATTCAACACTAATTATAATGTATGCCAGTCACTGGGTTGTGAAACTCAATGGAAATGTGACAATATTTACCCCTAAGAAGTCCACAGATAGGTATGGAGAGATGGCTCATCCAACATGAGAAATTCCTCATGCAGGTTCTCCTTGTATACTGACTACTAGGGGAAGGTGCTGAGTCTTACTGCAACCTAATAGGCCATGCTTTGTTGATAGCTATGGGAGGTCTGCCCTCTTCTGAATAGAAATGAAGGAGGGGATGTGGGCAGGACAAAGGGGAGGTGGGAGGAGGGACTGGGAAGAGAGGAAGGAGGACTGTAAATTTAATAAATATTTTTTAAGTAATTTCAAAAAAGAAGCCCACAGATAGAGATGGAGAGATGGCTCAGATGTTAAGAGTACTGACTGCTCTTCCAGAGGACACAGGTTCAATTTCTAGCACCCAAAAGGCTTCTTAAAGCCATTCCAGTTCCAGAAGATCTGATGTCATTTTCTGGATTTTGAAAGCACAAGACAGTTTGTGTGCATATACATATATGCAAGCAATACAGCCATACATATTAAATAACTTTTAAGTCTGCAGTCTAATATGGCAGTCATCATAACAAATAAGTTCAATGATTATCATGAAATTAAGAAGATGAATTGTACATTGGGATGAGACATTTGAACACATACCTCACCAAAGAAGATCCAGAGGAGAAAAATAAGCCTATAAAGATAATAAGGAACAAATGCCACTATGGAATTTAAATTTTAAACAACCATGAGATATTATAGCCAAATACCAGAATGATGAAATTCCAAAACAGGACATCAAATGTTAGCTAGAAAATTGGTGGAAGCATAAAATGGTACAGCCATTGTAGTAGCTATTACAAAAGTAAACACAACCTTAGGCCTACGATCATCCTCTTTGGCTTTTATCCAAATAAAATAAGAATTCATTCCAACACAAAGACTTCTGTACAAATGTTTATAACATGTTGAAATTACCAAAACTTGGAAGCAACCAAGATTTCCTTCAGAAGGAGTATGAATAAACTACAAGTTGTTCAAGCAATGGAATATCATTAAACAGAAATAAGCTATGTGAAAAAAAAAACATGAAGGAACTAACACGTTACTGCATCTAAGAAGCCAATATGAAAAAGATACATAGGATGTGACTCTGACTGTTCTGGAAAAGGCAAAGCTACAGGCACAATACACAGTTTACACAGTTTCCAGGAGTTAAGAGGACAGAAGGGTTAGATAGGTGGAACACAGTGTATGGGAGGGTAAATTCTATAAAGTTATTCTTCATGTCACAAGAATGATGGGTACCTGTCATTCTACAAGTCTGAACTCCATAGAAACAAGAATACCATGAACCAATCCTAAGACACACTAGAAACTGTGGTTGGTAATGACATCTCAGCATTGGTTCTCATTGAACCAATACTTTCCTCCAGAAGGATGATGATGGAGGTCAGCTGTGCACACTGCAGAAAACACATGGAAAACTTCTGTGCTTTCTTGTTAATATTTGTTCTAATGAAAAGTTTTAATTACTTTAATTCTTTAAATGGTTTTATGGAAAATAATTTTTTCATATGTTCTGAATATGATTTCCCCTCCCCCAGCTCCTCCCAGATCTTCCGTCCCCACTCAACTCCACACTCTTTATCTCTTTAGAAAACACAGCAGAGTAAAGAAATATTTTTAAAAGAAAAAGCCTAAGAAACATACACATTCACAAACACAAACAAAACCCATTAAAAACACAAACTCATAAACTATAATTTACAAGCAATATACTAGTAAGGAAAAAATTGCAAGCAAAGCAATATGAGACAAAACATCTACAAAAGTATCATTGAGTTCATTTTGTGTTGCCAATGGGACTAAGTTTACAGACCCACAGCCAGACATATGTAGAGCGAGAGACCTTGAAACATTCAGTCCTATGATGTCTCCACAACACCCCACATAATAGGATGCAAAAAGAATGTAAGGGCCAGAGGGAAAGAAGAACACCAAGAAAGCAAGACCTTCTAGACAGAGCAGGACAGAGACATATATGAAATCACAGAGACTGGGGCAGCATGCACAGGGCTTGCACAGGTCTGTACCAGATGAGACACAAGCCCCATCCCTAACCCAGAAGCTGTCTCCAACTGATAACCACTCACAAATGGAAAATTAATTTTCCCCAACATAATCTTACTAGATATACAAACTACTCTTAAGGGCAGTCCCCATGTTCAGCAATAAGTAGACAACACAAAATGAACTCAATGGACTCTTTGGGGGCTCCGTGTCTCATAAGGTTTTGTCAGAGCATTTTTTTTAACCTTACAGGTTCTTTGGGTTTATATTATGGCTTCTGGTTCTGTGTTTTCATGGGATTACTATGTGTGTGAACAGGCGTTTCATTGCATCTATCTGTATTTCCTGTGCTTTTTCTTCTATTTGTTTTGTCCTGCTTTGATTTATTGGTTTTGTGTTATTTTATTATTATTATTATTATTATTATTACTATTTAAATGTCTGTTTTCTAAGCAGAGACAGAACCAGTGTGGATCTGGAAGGGAGAGGAAACGGGAGGGGTCTTGGAGGCATTGGGGAAGGAGGAACGGCAATATTGTATGAAATATTGTCAGAATATATTGTATGAAAAAAAAACTAATTTCAATAAAAGAAAAACAGAAAGAGAGGAAATACTCAGTAAATTGTCAGCTGGCCAAGGAAGTTTTCTACCCGTAGATCTGGCCCTTTCTCAGCCCTGGGCAGAGGAGCTTCTTAAGGTGGTGGGTGTGGTCAACACAGAGACTGACAGCTGGTCAAATGGTCAAAAATAAGGGACTGTTGAGCGACCTATCAATGTGACCTCTGTAGTACCCTTCCAATGCTCAAGAAAGGTGAGGGAAGAGGTAGGAGAAGGAACCTTCAAGCTGGGACCCAGGAAGGAGTGTTGTAAAATGCTGGTCTCTGCACATGCCGAGAGTGTGTACCTGTAAACTCACAACAGCTGTTGGGGTTGTTTGTGCAAGCCCTGCACAAGACTGGTGTCATCGATGTCCCTCACGGATGGGGAAGGGACTTACACTGACCATTCCAGCCAGCTGAGCTATTGGAAGTTGATGGCTGAGCAAGGGGGGGGGGGGGTCTTCTGCTTCGGCGTTTTAGCAGCTTGTTTGCCATTTATTCAATTTCAGGTAAATTTTAACAATTTTACTTTCTCGCTGTGAACAATCAACAGTCTTAAAGTTCATGGAAATCATTAAATTATCTATCATCTGTGACTTAAATAAACATGGAAATAATCCTAGAGCAGATTTCTTTGAGGAAATATATGCATTTACTAAGTAGGAATAAGAGCATAAGTGATATGTGATATGTGATAGGCATGGTACAAGCATAGACATAATCATCCATTTATAGAGGTGAAGTCTCTAGCAGTGTCTTTCATCTTTCATTATAAAATACAATAAGAACTTTACATTTTTTTTAGTCTTTTGAGACAGGGTTTCTCTGTGTCACAGCTTGAGCTGTCCTGGAACTTGCTTTTTAAAGGAGGCAGACCTCAAACTCACTGAAATCTGCCTACCTCTGCATCCCAAGTGCTGGGATTAAAAGCATGCACCACCATTGCCTGGATAAGAGCATTTTAAATAGGGGGAGTAGGAGAGGGCTCAGCAAGTAAGAGTGCTTGCTCTGCAGGCCTGGGGGCTTGAGTTTGAAATCCCCACACCCATGTAAAAACCCGGCATAAACAATTATAACCCTAGCAATCTGAGGGACAGAGACACAGGATCCCTCACAGTGCTTGCTGTCTGCTAGCTTAGCTCCAGGTCCAGTGAGACCTTTCCCTAACAGTAGAATGGAGAACTATAGAAAAGTGCACCTGATGTCCTCTTCTGGCTCCTACACACCCACGTGCATACACCACAATACACATACACCACACACACACACATGCATACACAGATTACAGACACACACAACATTTTTAAAGGATTGTTTTAAACAAAATAGAATTTAGCTTTTCAAGTTGGAGACAATTCTGAGAGACTTGCTCAACTCCCATGTTGATCTGATAAGAGGGACAAGGTGCTGTGTTCATCCCCCATACTTCCTGTTTCTATTTTGAAGATGAGCAGCTAAAGCAGCTATTCTAAGGCATTTTTTTTGCATAAATGCCCACAAAAGCACCCAACTGAAAGAGCTTACCTATGGTTGGTTGCAACATTATCTGAAAACAGTGTCTGCTGTTCCTGATCCAGGGAACCAAAACCCGGTGTGAGCACTCACTAGGTGAGGAGGGTTTTGCAGTGAATCTTCTTTGTTGTGTTAATGAATACATTCTCTAATCCCATTCCTATTGTCACCACTTCACACCTTATTTTCTTTAATGACCAATTTGTTCTAGTGCTTTGTACCTTTTAAGCAAACTAAAAATAGGATGGCAATCTGACTGGTTTCTCTTGTCTTGTTTCTGTAAGTCACATTTTACGTTTGCATGTTAGCAAGTATGGACACAGGGACATACACACATGCACAATTACATAGACCACATTCACTCATTCAGCAGCTCATGTGTTTGTTCCAGTGGCTTCTAGCTCTTGTATACTAAAATGGTGACGCTATTCAGTTTCAGAGTCTGAGAACTCAAGCTTCAAGCCTATGAGTAAAATTATGATCTGTGTTTTAAACAATTAGACTCAAGAAATCTGGAAATTCAGAAAACTTGAAAATATAGCCTCTCAAGCAGTTACAAAGTCAGAATTTAAACCTGAGTGGTCTCCATATGACATACTTCATTACATATGATTCGTCCTTATTCACTTTATAAGAAGCAAGAAACAGACATTAGTGAAAGTATGTCAGCCCCTATTGGTCAACTAACTATTCCAGACTCTTTCCTTTCATGAACTATCCTTTGAGTTTGTTTTCAGTTAAAGCACAAGGTGGTTTAAACATTCAATATTGATTTGCCTTATAATACCTGATCTCACACTGACTCTTGTTCATTTGTTCATGTGTGCCCTACTTCAGCAGCATAGCATCACATTTGCATACATTATTTGATCCAAACACTTCTGCATTGGTTACAAATGCACTTACTATTCAATGATGAATTCTTTACTCCCTGAGTTTCTCAATCTAACAGGGTAGAGATAAACATCTCATTATCTTAGTGGTGAAAATATACACGCCCCCCCCACATCTATCTGACATATTCTGTGTCTGTATTGCACCAATTATCCTTTCTAATCATTTTCTGAATTGAGTCCAAGATAATTTTCCTTTAAATTAGAAAAATAAAACATGAGCTATAAATTGACATGGAAAATTGTCTTATCGTGGAAGATTGGTTGGGAATATACAATCATTACGGTATTTATGATTAGTTAGTCAAATTGGGCCATTAATTTTCTAGAATGTGTAGTGAGCTGACCCAAATAACACACTTCTTTCTTCCCTGTAAGTCTCTCTAATAGTTCCAAGGGAAATATTAAATTCACATGTTGGGTGTGGCATGGTCAGATTTGAACATTCTATTATGCTGCAATTTGTGCTATGAGTTTTTCCAGAGAAAAGTCGATTCTTCAAGGCTCTTGTACAAAACTCCTTCAGAGTTTTCAGGAGAAATTTTAACTAAGTATTCCATGGATCTTTAAGACACAGCCCCAGCACGAACCATCTGAATGTGAAAATTTGACACTGGAGGTCCAGACAGTGATATTCACAAGCCCTCCATGCCATGCATCAGTGCAAGGTTTAGCTTCTCCTACAAATGGACGCATATTCTGTGGGTGCCTCTTGTATGTTGCTTGACTGTCTTCGATTCCTTCCAATAATCGAATGTTTCAGGGAAGCATACACAATGCCCTGTTTGTTTCCCTCAGATTGTGAATTAGTTGTGGATTCAGAACTTTCCTGCCCACTTGACCAGGGATCATTATCATAAATGGCAGTTTCTGAGGGCAGTGTTTGGGAATTTTCCCTGGGACTCACTGCAATATCAACCTACAAGAGAGAAGAGATTTACCACATAAGGATGTGACAAAACATATTCATTATTAGACTGTGAGTGAACGGCTACATGATGTCATGCACATTGAAAGAGACTGTCTATTGTTCTTCATGTAAGCTACTTAATATCGACATTTTCAGTAAGCATTGTACTATCAAAGGATGAAAGGGCTGGTTAGACTTGGAGTGTTGTGTTTGTTTGTTTCGTTTTGTTTTTTTCATGACCAGGTCCTTATGAATGTTAGGCAGGTATTTGACCACTGAGCCCCTAAGGCCAAACATTTGAAGTTCACTATGCTCTTCACAAGCAATTGTTTTATGCTGTATTATGGGCCATTTGAGGTCACACACATATGCACAATGATCTTTTAATGGAAAAAAATCACAGTCCAATTCATGGAAGAGAAAACTAATCCCATAAAAACTTTAGGCAGTCCACAACACATCGGCATGTGGAGCATAGAACATCAAAAGATTAAGCCCAAGGCAGAAAGACCTGAGACCTCCTGAGTAGAGCAGGAACAGGAAGCGTCATGGGTTATCTAAGACACATTATGATCCAAGAACTAAATTGGAGAACTAAATTAGAAAATGAAAGCCAATTTTGAAAGAATAAAGTTTCTATTAAATTCTAAAATATTATTCTAGTTGTTATTTCTATCATAAGAAAATCGTCATACTTTCAAATAGTACCAGAGACCTAAATGGTGTGAGACAGTTGGGGGGGTGTGTGGAAACTAAAGTGAATCCTGTTATTTTCTCCCTCTTTTCAGTTATTGTTAGCTGCTCCTGACTATACAAAAAGTGTGAATGGTAAAAATGATGTGTTAATATTAAGGGTTTTAACTTTCAGCCATGGGAGGGGTGGGGTGGGTTTGTATGTTTGTAGGTAAGGTGCACTCACCCACGTGAGTGCATGTAGAGGTCAGAGGTCTATGTCAGGTTTCTTCCTCTATTCCTTTCTACCTTACTTATTGAGAAAGGTGTTCTCACTAAAGCTGTATTTCATTAGCCTTTCAACTAGGCTAGATGGCCAATGAACCCAATTCGACCTGTTTTCACATCCTCCCCACCACTTGGTTTCAAACTGTATGTGACCACACCCAGATTTGATATAAGTGCTGGAGATTCAAACCCATTCCTCAAGCTTGCAGAGTGTTATACCCACCTGACCCTTTTCCCGGGCTCTATTCTGACTTTTTAAAATCTCCATTTTGTCAGTCAAGTTACGCTCTCCCTAAAAGTTTTCATGTTCTTGGTCTTTTGACTATTCATATTCCTATGGTGCTTGGAACGTCTCACTGTGACATTTGCAGAAGGATTTCTCTTATATCTGCTGGGGGAAGATCTGCTCTAAAAACATGCTTCCTTCTAACTCGAGAAATGAGGCGGTAACTGCCAATCCGCTACAATTTTCCTATGAGGTGAGCACTTGGAAATAACACTAAGGCTGGAGGTCTGAAAGAGTTGAGGGTGGGTTGGTTAGGATGGAGATGCCCCCACACAAAGTGAACCTACATGTGGGACACGGACAATTGTCAAGTGAATGGATAAAGAACTGTTAATTCTCTGTATGTCTACCAAGATCCCTGCTATCCTTTCCAGTCTTTAGTAGGCTGTCAGTTCGGTCGTCTTGGCTCTCTTCACCGGAATGGCTCATTTTCATAGAAAACTCTGTTAGCACGAGCATGATTCTGTGCCCCTGAAGTTCTCCTGTGACACACTGTGAAAGCAGAGGGTATCACAAGGCAGGTGCACTACAATGCGATGGCCAGAGACGATAAAGGGTGTTAGGCAGCGCTAGCCATCTCGCTTTACATACTTATTGCACTTAGCTGTTGTAAGGCTCTTTTGAAATAAGCATGCTGATTTATAATTTGCTTTCCAAAAGCCTCACCCTTTTAAGTATATTATGACTCAGTGGACTTTCCTATATAATCATATTTATTCCCTTAGAACAGCGACTCTCAATCTGTAGGTCATGAGCCCTTCGGCAGACCTCTGTCTCCAAAAATATTGACATCCTGATTCAAAACATTGGTAAAATTATAGTTATGAAGTAGTAATGGAAACAAGTGTATGGTTGGGGGTCACTGCCACGTGAAGAACTGTTTTAAAGGGTCGCAGCATTGGGAAGGTTGAGAACCACTGCCTTAGAAGGACTATTTTGAAATAAGATCATAACTTTGGACTTTTCAGCTTTGTTATATTTTTATGTTTCATTGCCATATAGTAACTATATATATACACATATATGTATGCATGTATATACTCACACAATAGATTTGTTCACATTCAACCTCCCCTGGTCTCTTTTATCCGCTTCGCAATCCTCCCAATCGTCTTTCTCTTCCCAACTTGTTCCCTTTCAATTTTTATAGATTTCCCACCAATGAATTTCATTTTGGTAGTTTGCAGTAGTGTAGGTGAGGTGAGGGTTTATTTACAATGACCACACTGAAAATTGGCTCCCACTCTGCATCAGTTGTTGACTACCATGTGAGTCCCTCCCACTCCACACCAAGTTGTATATGGGCCCTGTATTATATAAGTATTATGCAGGCAATCATGACTGTGAAAAATCTGGAGTGTGTGTGTTAATGCCATATAAACTTACTGAAAAAAATACATATGTATAATATAAAATGTATTTGTCTTAATAGATACTTCAGACATACCAGGTTAATTTCCTTTCCTGCTGAGTCAGAATTCTTCTTTCCTTTCCCTGAAAGATTGAGAAAAGGAAAAGAAAAAAGATACCAAACAGTGTTAAGAAAGCAAAGCAAACTATCCCATTATGCCCACCCCGTTGCACGCCAGCAACCATATTGTTAGTTTTGCCTCCTAACTATGTTGGTTAGCGTGTACCACACACATCTCAGTCTGTGCGAATGTACATGCCCACTTCCCTCCCCTCACATCACACAACAGTCTTCACATCCAAGAGGAAGGAGTAGGATCTAGTAAAGAACAGTTTCGGTTGGTTGGGAATCATTGTATACTCAATGTTAAAAGTGCTGCTGTCATCTCTGTGATATATGAGACAGCTATATTATACTCCTCCTCCGCGGCTCAGGTAACATTGAAGAAAGACTGTGAAAGCCAGAGGTTGGGGCAGACTGAGGAAAACTGTCTCCTGGCCACGATTATGCCGTTGTATCAAGTAACTCACAATATCTTTGATTTCTTCCACAGACTTGTGTAAGATTAAGTCAACCAGAATCCCAGTTCAAGGAGCCCTGCAACCTTCAGTCTGATGACAGATGATGGGTGCTGAGCAAGAGCCAGTTCTTTTAGGGGTGTAGTCTCTGATAGGTTATCATACCCCTGTGAATCTCCACAGCTATATGTATATGAACAACACTAATAGACTCAATGGCATATGTACTGTGGCTGTCTGATTGTAATTGGCCCCATAATCTCACAGAAGTGGCACTATTAGGAAGTGTGGCTTTGGTGGAGTACATATGGCCTTGTTAGAGAAACTGTGTCATTGTATGGGGGGGTGCTTTAAGGTTTCCTATGCTTAGAATACTGCCAAGTGCCTCAGTCAACTTTCTGCCTGCAAGACAGAGGACTCTCAGCCACTACTCCCACAATATATCTTCATGCATGCCACCATGCTTCCTAGCATGATAAAGAACTGAACCTCTAAACCTGTAAAGTGAGCCACCACAATTAAATATTTATTTATTTATTTATTTATTTATTTATTTATTTATTTATGTGTGCAATATTCTTCCTGTGTGTATGCCTGAAGGCCAGAAGAGGGCACCATTACAGATGGTTGTGAGCCACCATGTGGTTGCTGGGAATTGAACTCAGGACCTTTGGAAGAGCAGGCAATGCTCTTAACCTCTGAGCCATCTCTCCAGCCCCTTAAATATTTTTTTTAATAAGAGTTGTCACGGTCATGGTGTCTCTTCCCAGCAATCCAATCCCTAAGACGAAGTTGGTACCAGGGACTGGGGTACTGCTACGATAGGCTAGACCATGTTCTGGTTTGGAGGAATTAGGACTTTGGTACTTTGGGTTAGGGAAAGAGTGGACATTTTAAGCACTGCCTAATGGACCATTCTAGTAGGAGCATGGAAGACAGTGGAGCTGACTGTGAACTGATGAACTGTGGAGGGCTCCTTCAAGAGGTTACAGAGGAGAATTTTAGTATGTTTCCTAGAGATTGTTCTTGTAATATTTTGATGAAGAAAATGGCTGCTTTTGCCTTTGTACAGCTAAATTTCCAACTTGTTTAGAGATTGGTGTGGTGGTGCACGCCTTTAATTTTAGAACTGCAAAGGCAGAAGCTGGCAGATCTCTGAGTTTTGAGGCCAAACTGGTCTACAGAGCAAGTTTCAGGACAGTGAAGCAAAGGCAACGAAGAAAAGAAAGTTGGTGGTGATATAATTGAATGGGGTGAGGGAGAGTCTCATGTTCTGGTCCCAGTAAGCAGCAAAACTTGGCAAAATGGGTTATAGAATTTGCCTCAGCACCAAAAAAAAAAAAAAAAAATTAAAAAAGCCATTGAGGCAACACATGTGTCAAGAGCATCCCTGAATGGAGGCCTAGCGAGGCCTTTGTGTGAAGCTGTGAAGTTGAATCCTGGACTGCCTTGGAGAACCCAAGACATTAGAGATGCCAGAGTCATGGGACAGTTGCCGAGGAAAGCTGCTAACACAGAGTAGCAGCCGCCCAAGAGGAAAAAAAGTGTGTTACAGTCAACAAAGCTGACCAGAGCTGGAGATCTGAAGAATATTTTAACCTCAGACATGGAGATGCAGAGTGTGGAGTTTGCCCAGTGGGTTTTCAGTCTTGCTTTGATCCAGTATTTCCTCACTGTGATTCCTTACCTGCTTTTGGGGATGATAATATATATCTTACACCACTGCATGCTGCAAGTGATTTGTTTTTAAATTTGATTTCGCAGGGAATTATAGTTAAGAGATTGCATGACTCTCTCAAAAAACTTTGAATTTTGGACTTCTAAACATTGTTGAGACTGTGATAGACTATGGGGACTTTTGAATTTGTACTAAATGCATTTTGTATTATGATGTTTTTACGAACTTATGGGGACCAGTTTCTTGTGCTGTGTAGTTACAGATACAGAGGTGGGTTTGCAGTGGAATGTCTGAGAACTACAAAAAGGCTCTGGGATCAAGGAGCACTTCCACCCAGACAAAGCTTTCTCTTGTGGCGTCAAACACGGGATGCTTTGTCCTACTCACTTTAGAGCTACACTGTGCTCCTATTATAGAAAGTGGGGGGGGGGATGGAAAAGAACAAGGAAATAGAGACTATAGATGCACCAGATCAGCATGCCTCTTTTGTTGAGTTTTACTGTGCAATGGTGACAATGAAGACATGGTTTCAAAAAGAAAAGCAACCCTTTTCAAAATACCACAGCTCTCTCATTATAGGCAACTCCACGTTCTCAAATGCAGTGCTACTGAGTAAAAACTGGATTCAAGGATGTGTTTATAATAGCAATAGAAAGCACAAATACATATGAATTCCTGCTGGGGACATTGATACTTTATTTAGGTAAGGGTGGGTATCATTGGAATTATGTGTAATAGCTGTGGAAATGGCTCAAAAAGAATAACATGTTGGTTCAAGAGATTGTTTCAACCAGCCTTTCAATGTGGTTAAAGCTTAGGAGAATGCTTTCTTGTTCACACCTAAGATTGATGTGTATAGAATGAGAAAGTTCCAGCAATGCTAGCCTAGGGTTGTGGTGAGTGTGCCTTGCAATGCCTAGACCGAGACCAAATTCATGCACATTGTTTTCCAGTGGCAACCAGTAGTTCCCCAGGAATCATTATCCAGAAAGAAAACACTAACCAGCTAAAAATCCATCAGCCCTGGAAAACAAACCCCAAATGTGTGGCACATGAGTGCAGAGGGAAATTGCAACCCACCTTGGTGCCTTTTCAGGAAACAGACCAGGCAGAAACAGGCAAGCAGCAAAAGCAGTGCCACCACAGGAAGCAAGCTGTAAAGCAGCCAGGTCCTGCTCCCCCTCTCTTCCATGATGGGTGGTCCTGAGGCATTGGTGGCACCTGGGGTATCAGACACTGCGGAAAACAGTTAAGAAGTCCTAGAAGCATTAGAGTTGGCAGTACTTCTTTGCGTTGTCATAATTTGAATGATGGAACTAGCAGGCCAAGCCCTCTGTTTCTCCTTTGGTGGTCCCAGTACCATCAACTACTATTTTTAACTTTTGTGAACATCTCACATTCTGCTTGCATGAGCTATTGTAGAAAGATCCCTATGGCAGTTCTCACAAACCACTTCGCCAGGCCCTTTCATTTATATATTTAGTTCAGTGTTATGGAAGTCATTTTCTTAATACAGCTTTAGAACTTGAAAGGAATGTTCTGAATAGTGCCCAAAGACCGACAGCTCATGAATGGCAGTTGGGACTCACACCAGCAGGTTTCTGATGCTGTACATTTGCTCCCTCTTATAAGTCATCATTACCTCCAAACATCAAATATTTTTATTTTTACCAAATATGCTTTGCTTAGCATCTAGCTAGTGCTCATTCTGACTGACCTGTGTTAACATTCACCGATCCCTGTTTGATCAAGGTTGGTTTTTAACTTATAAATAAGTTGTGACACAGCTCAGTGGATCAAAAATAGTGTTTTTTAAATAATATAAAACAAACTAGAAAATATCTGAGTTCATAAGACACACTGCTGCAGTGATTCTCAACCAGAAAATTTCTCATCCCCCAGAAACACGTGGTAGTTTTAGGAGACACTTCTGATAGATATCACAATGTGGGAGAGAGTCTGCGTCCAGTAAGGAGAGGTCCAGGGCTTGATAAACCCCCTGCATTGCACAGGACACTCCTCCATTCCCATAGCACAGAAATCAAAAATTCCACTGTCTACAGATTTTGTGGATTTGCTTTTTATGTGTGTATACTCTTGGATATGATGTAAGATACACTGTTTCTTTGGGGTCACTATTAACAATTTGTCAAAAGCAGAGAAGTATTGAACTGTATGTGTGATATCCCCCTGACCCCAGATCCTTTCTTTGAGGTTACAAACAATCAGGAGTAATTTAAGGAGGACATACAGTGAGCATTTAGTTTAATGGTACAGAATGGTGGCAAATGTACTGCAGCTGCTGTTTAGGTTGGGCAAGCAGCCAAGAAGCAAACACAGCTATCTATGGTGAGGCAGTTTAATGGCAAACAATAGGTAATCTAATACAAACAAACCCAATTAAGAAGACCTTATTTCCATTATTTATCTAATCATCAAACAAACTTGCTAATTTTGATTGGTTTCATACTTACTTATTAGATGGTGTTCTGGATCATTTTGAGTCCTTTCTGAAACAGAAAATAAGACTAAGTATTAAAATGGCTTGATAAAATACAAAGGTGATACTCAAAGTTATCTTTAAAGTCAGAGTTATTTAGAAAGGACTCCAATGTTGCCACAACAGAGAATCCAGTAATCCCGGCCAAGTTCAGCATGTATAATTCATGGAACTTCACCCTGAGATCATGGCATACAAAGCAAAGGAGTTCTTTTCAAGCCTAAAGAAAGACTACTGTCAACATAGTATAATCTTCATCTGACTTCTTTGGTTCTCTCCTCCTCGTTCTTCAGGTAGATGAACACATAGACCATGTGTGACCTCTGACACCTGCAATATAATAAAACATTCAACCCCCCAGGTGCTTCTGAGACTGTGAATGACCACAGGATAAAGAAGTTCTGCGTGAGATCCTAGGTGTTCATTTTGAAACAAAGACTGTGCCTCTCACTTCCTGCATTCTCACACAACATGCATCCTCCTGCACAGACAATGACCTCTGCATTTTCCTGGTGTCCCCAATCAGAAACTGACCTAGGACAATTGAGAAGCACAGAGCTATAAATCAATGTATATATCGGGGTGGCTGTTCCTGGCTCTGTAGGATAATCTCCTCGTACTCTGCTTTGTTTCACAAGGTGCCTTTCCTCATTCCAGGAGACAAATGCTCTCTCAAGAATACCCAAGCCTCCTTCTGTCCACATTGGTTCTTACACAAACCAATTTCTATTATGAACATAAAAAGCAAAGGTAAATCATATGCAAAAATGGGGGCATTCCCAGTATCCTCCCAGAAAGATATTTCAAGGGGAAAAATAAAATACTTTTATTGTATTTCCAAATTTTACTAATTATAAGCAGTTCCAGAACATATTTCTTTCCACATTTCATAGGCAGTTCCCTGAGTACTCTTGGGTTCAAAAATAAATGGAATATCTTTCCTCTTTCCCGGTAATCCCCATTTCCCTAAAGAAGACTATATATTTAGCTAAAATTTAAATTAATCCTAAAAAGAATTGTATTTGAATTCTACAAGAGAGCCACAATCCCCAAAAGCAAGATATGATTTCTATTTGTAAGGTACTATAAGTTTTGATGGAACTGGACATAGTTTTATAAAACGCACAGGGAAGGGATATGTGTGATGAATGAGGGACATAGACCTTACAAAGGAAAAGGATAATTGTGATAGGTATAAAAGTGGACATTCTGAAATAAATGGGAATGCCATAGCAACGATGATGATGGAGGTGAGAGAAGGCTGGACCTGGGAAGATGGGTCACGTGTGTGAGCTTGAGGATCTCTGCTAAATCTTCAGTGTCCACATATGAGGTAGAATATGAGAGCTCCTGTCTCTAATCCAGTGCTAAGGCGGCAACAGGAGCATCCCAGTTTCTCACTTACTAGCCAGACTAAGAATTCCATCAAGTCCCGAGTTCACCGAGAAACCTTGTCTCAAAAAGTAAGATAGAGAGCAATTGAGGAAGACACCAAATGTCATCCTCTGTCTTCCACATACACACTTGTGCAGACTCACATATGCACACATATATGTGTACTTGCATGCACATGCGCACACACAAAGATGGGCAATGGAAAGTAGTGCTGTTCAGCTTGGAAAGGTTCCTCCCTGAAGTGTTCTAAGAAGGTAGGCAGATAGTTCTGGAGAGTTTTTACATAGTCTGGGCAATAGTCTCGCATGAAGCATGTGATTCGCAAACATTTTCTCATGTTCTGTGAGGTGCCTTTGCACTCAATATAATGATCTTTGATGCAGAAGCATACTGAATTGTGGCAGTCTTTTCTGTCTGCTTTTGCTGTTGTTTTATGCTTTTGTAATAATATCTATGAAATGATTACAAAATCCAAGATCAAGACATAGTTTTTTTATGCAGATATATGGTTTGGTCTAAAAATAGTTTTGTAGGTTAATTTCCTATATTTAAATCAGCTGAGGGTCTTGGTGACACATACCTTTAAGCCCAGTATTTGGAGAAAGGGGCAGGGGGATCTCTGAGCTCCAGCACAGCCTAGTCTACACATGGAGTTTCAGGCCAGGAAAGACTACACACTGAAACACAGTTTCAAAAAACAAAGAAAAACAAAACAAAAATAATAATAATAAAAAAAGCAACATCCGAAAGTAAATTGAGAGCCTATAGAGATGACTCAGATGTTGAGAGCACTGGCTGCTCTTCCAGAGGGCCCGGGTCCAATTCCCAACATCCACACGGTAGATCAAAACTATATGTAATTCCAGTCCCAGAGGCACCAGCCATGTATGTGGTACACAGACATACTTGCAGGCTAAAACACCCATGCACAGAAAATAAAAATAATAGAAAAAGTCAGCTAATCATAGAAGTGTATTCTACACTCTCAATTCTCCTATGCTGATCTCACCGCAGTATTTAAATAGCTATATTCCAATAATGAAATTTGGAATAGAGAAAGCAGATTATCTTGGCTACTCAGGGTCTGTTACACGATATGATGTGAATTTTAGAATTAAGTTTGATTTGCTGGAGATGATGTTCAATCTTGGGGTGTGTCATCATTGTAATAGTGAGTCTTCCAAGCTGATGATGATCGGGTATTTTTAAATCTTAATTTCTTTGTTTATTCATGCTACAAATCTGCTGCTTATGTTACATAACTTCTGCAAATTCTAATCATCAAAAACCAGAAAAAACAATGACGAAAAAAGAAAATGATATCATTATGATCATTTTTGAACCTGTCAAATAAATGTTTTAATTTCTAATGACAAGAACAGTCAGTAAGTGGCCTGCTGTGGCAGCACATACCTTTAACCCAAGCACTAGGGAGGCAGAGGCAGGTGGATTTCTGTGAGTTCCGTGACAGCCTGGGCTACAAAGGGAGCTCCAGAGAAGCCAAGCCTCTTCTCTAAAAGACCAGTAACTTCCATTATTTTCCCTCTACTGTTCTTGACCCCACCCTTCTCTCCCCCTACACAAATACTTTACGTCCTCATTACTGTCACAGCCTGGAAGATGAGGTAGACTGTGGTTCTGATACAAGTGTTCCAACTTTAACCACAGTGTCTGAAAGTCAGGATTGCCTCTTTCACAGCAACAGATGGAAAAGCAAAGATGGTCTGAGGTAGAGCACTCACCTGTCACATGGAGGGTTATTATGTTGCTATTAATAATGTCAGAATTAATGTCTACAGAACAACTATATGACCCATCATCACTGCGATATACTGGTTCAAAATGGAGAGTAAAAACTGAACCATGGTCCTTGTCTTCCCAACCAGTATGTTGCTGAGGTCCAATCTCAAGAGGTAAACAGTTTGGTCCACTGTACTTGCACCATGTCACATTAGGTCTCTGAGCACAATATGCCACAGGACATTTCATTTTAAAGAACTCTCCCACTGTGGCATATTCCGAATGCCTGGGAATTCTAAGTTGTACTTGACATGACTTTTCACCTAAAACACAAAAGGAAAACTGTAATGAGTATGATCTTCTCGAAGAACCATAGATACCCCAGCAATTATTTCCACCAAAGATTTCTCAGGCAGAATTCCATAATCTTCCTCAATACTATTTTCAGTACTTTATCTCCGTTAGCTCAGTGTGGTGCATAGCTGGCACATAATCAATATTTGCTTTAAAAATAAATTGCTTCACAGAGTGATGAAGTAGCACACATTTAATCCCAGCACTCTGGAGGCAGAGAAAGGCAGATTTCTGAGTTTAAGGCCAGCCTGGTCTACAGAGCAAGTTCCAGGACAGCCAGGGCTATACAGAGAAACCCTGTCTCAAAAAACAAACATACAAACAATTAGTTAATTAGTTTCATCCTCCCCAAAAAGTAATATTATGATTTCAGTTTTACAGATGAGGTTGAAATACTAAAGAACTTGTTCATGGTTATATGCTAATAATTAGGAAAATTGAGACTTTAAAGTCATAATGAGGTCTTTACCATGTACCATTATTTTGTTTGTATTACTTCTCAGCCAGTAATTACATTTTCTAATACCATTTGCTAATCAACCTATAATCGTATTATATTAAAACACAAAAATTCATAAAACTTAAAACTGTTTAATTACACCCCTTTCTTGAAACAAATATGTGTGCAATTTGGTTCACAAAATATTCAACCAGCATGGGTATTCAGAAGCAAAAACTGGCTTCAAAGTCACTAGCTTCAGTTGCTCAGGAAACAGTCATGTGTATGTGTTCACTCTTAACTGAAAGGCTGTGTTGTTACTTTTGGGATAGGACTAAGATCTTCATGATCGTGACAACTTTAGAAGCCTTTTGGCCTCATTTCCATATTGACTGCTATGTCTGCTGCATCTAGAAATTACTAGATGGGATTCCCTAAGCTGGTAAAACAAAATAAGCCAACAGGCAAAAATTTTCTTTTGTTATGTACTTTGTGGCACTTTCCGTCTTCTTCTTTTTACATTACAATGAGGCTAAACACAGGGTCTTAAAGTGTTTCAAGTTCTTTTTCCTCCACCCTCAGGAATGGTTCTTTGTTGTTATGCTGCCTTGTTGTTTTGGTTTGAATTTTTAAGACAGGGTCTTACTATGTAGCCCTTGCTGTCCTGGAAATCACTCTTTAGACCAGGCTGGCCTTAGACTCACAAAGATCCATCTGCTTCTGCTTCCCCAGGGCTGGGTTTAAAGGCTTGTGCCACTTTGCCTGACTCTTACTTTTGATCTATTCTATTTCGTGGCATTAGCATACTGTACCTTTTCACTAACTTTCATGTTCAAGTACTTTTCTGAATAGATTTATGGAATCACATGTTATAAAGATGCCTAAATGAAATCATAGTCAAAGCTTTCTTTAAAGATGAAGAATGCTTAGGGTCTTATTTTAACTATTTTATAACAATAAATTTCTCACTTTAACTTTTGCCCGAATCTCATCAACTCTTGCTTAGAACAATTGAAACTTGATGGAATTTTCAGGAGTCAGGTAGAGACTAGGGACCTGCAGAGAACTTTCAGCATCTCCGATTACTGACTTATTTGTGACTATATTGGATTCTCAGACAACTTCTCTTTAAAATGTCATGGTTCAGTTGCTTCAATTTTTTTTAGTGTAAACTTGTAAGCAAAACAAAATGAAACTTATAAGGGTGAGGTTTCAAAAGCTTGAATAGAAAGGCTAAGGTCACTGACACAAAAGGAAGTGCCTAACATAACAATACCTGATGTGGTCAGATTTGCAGCAAAAAGCAAGGAAACCAAAGGTGGAAAGGCCAAGTGAAACCTTGTCTCCAAAGTCCGTTCCTCTCTCAAGTTAAGAGACCTCAGCCTCCTCACTTCCCTTTTTAATTTTCCTGAGTACTTGTGAACAGCAAGGTGGTCGTGGTCAAAGGCCTGTTGTCCCCAATGAGCTTACTTTTGATTGATGGGACAATTATGTAATAATAGGGACCTTTTCTAAATAAATCTATTAGGTACTACTCTTTTTCTCCTCAAATGTAGCCAAGCTTGAAAGCAAGGTTAGGAGGAGTCCCGTGTACTCTTTCTTAGAGGGAATAGGAATTAGAAATGAGGTCTGTCTTTGCGGAATTTGCCTTCACATGGGAAATGAACGTGCCCAACAATGTACATAGTCACGCTGTACATAGGCACTAAGTACTTGGCCTGGGCTGCTGGCATGCTTTCCTGGAAGCTGAGCTGCCCTTCAATGAGGTACTGAAGTCTGGTGGAACGGGAAAACACAGGCTTCTCAATAGTCTCACAGCAGATTCAGGGAACTGATACACAACTGCATCATGGCTTTCTGGACACGATAAAGGCCATTGGTTATTCTAGAATAAGTAGGATGAGCACTGTTGGGAAACATTAAAATTTTCCTGTCCCCAAAGAAAAAAAATATGATGTCCAACTTGGGTAGACATATAAAAAGCATGGAATCAGTGAAAAATGGAAGCATTTATTCAACAGAGCTATTGGGACAGTCTCAGCGACCCTCAGTTTCTTCAAACTGAGATAGACATCGACTTCAAAACAGACACACATGGATGTGCACACACATGCACACACACACACACCCCTTCATTTCCCTCAATGTATGACTGTAAAACTAGTCCTAGTCTACAAAGTCTGTCCCTGCTGCAAAGTATAAGCCTTTCATTCAGCCAGAGAACTGTTACCTCATGTTAATAGCACAGTCTATCTTTAGCATTCTGTGTCTATACACTTGAGAGGAGCACATGAAACACGCAGAAAAGAGCTTGTGATTAGCCCCGACTGTGTCACTGATTTGGAATGCAATGACAGAAACATTATTGTGGCTTCTGAGTATTTTTCTGAGCAGGATAAAGTTGACTGACAACCACATTAGCTGGCATATAATTTTTCTCGAATATTAGAATAAACACAAGATGAATGCTTTTACAGCATTAGAAATCAGGAATGATCGGTCTGTGTGCAAATAAGGCAAGATTTCTTTTCTTAAGCTCAAAGCCTGTAACTGATGTTAGGAGGTCAAGAATTATCCACTGAGTCAGATGTCACAGTTCTAATTTTCTGTCTGGCAAGCATGTTGACAGTTCCTTTCTACCTGCCTCGACATATGCCAGTCAGTTATGTGACACGCACGATGCACACAGCTATCCTTGACTGGATTGTCTTCTCAAGCAAACATTCTCTGATGAGGGGATAATCACAGTTGGTTTTAGCTTTGACTTATCTGCCAACTCCCAGTCACTTTGTCCTTGGTATTATTGTTCCTGATGCTTGTCTCAAACATTCATATCTTATATGGAATTTTCAATGAAGAATAATAAAATCACATGTAGTAAGACAAAATATATATCCATCACCACCAGAATTTCATATGACATATTTTTGTGAGCCACCAGAAGTGGAGGAGCCTGTAAAAAATTCTTCCAAAAGCTACTCATGTGTTATATTCTATATGAACTGTACACACAAATAGATAGCTAGGTACTGTCTAACCAATGAGAACACTGGTTTTTATTATTTTGGATAACTTCTATCTCCATATGAAAAATATCTATTCTGAAATCACAAAAGGAAACAATCAATGAAATGACCAGATAAATAAAATAAAAACAAATGTTGTAGGAATATGTACTGTCACAAAGAATGGGGGATACTGGCCAGTATATCAAATTCTACTGATCCTGAGTATAATTCATGCTTAAAATAGGCACAAGGAGTTGAATTCATGTGTTCAGGGCCAGTTCTCCAGCTAGGCAGTTCTGAGTTAACTTTCAAGTCGAGTGAAATTTCTGCTGAGGATAAATATTACAAACATGTTAATTTACAAATTACAAACATATTATCAAAACTCAATGGTATCATATCAATTAGTTAGAACTTACACCAAGAATACTCTTACCATGGACATTGTTCAGAACTTCTCATACATGGTGATAATCAGCAGCAGATACTATGGATACTGTGCCTTTTTGTTGTCCATAATCTAAGTGTATAGACAGCCCAGTCCCTATCATCATTAGGAATGTGATGGTTTCTAATAGAATTTTATAGTTAGACTTTTTATCTTAGATATGACATAAGCTCCTACCTTTCAGATCCTTGAGAGTTCTTCTGGTTGAGTTGCTCAAGAAAGGTTTCATGAAAGAAGGGGGATGTAACCCAACCCCACCTCTAGGGAAACTCAGTGGTCTTGTTCTCACAATGCCATCTCCAATCCTTAACAGGCTTTATGATATTCTATAATTATTTCAACTGCCTTGCCTTGATTATAACTATTATTTTAAAGCAAATTCCAACCGACAGCTATCAAGCCTCCATTGAAAAAAGTCTTACAATTTATAGAAACTTCAAAAATGGTCACAGTTATTAAGTGAAATTAGTGAAAAACAAGATTGGATTAATTTGAGTTGTAATATCAGTGATGAACATAGAAATGTAAACTATTTTAGAAAAATAAAATTATCACCAGTGGTGTATTAATAATTAATATTAATGGTATATTTACACTCAGGAGGAAAGGTCTCTAGACAATATTTGATACTATATTCTGCTTCCCTTAAAGCTTAGCGATGATGAAGGGTGGGGGGACATTACACTTACTGAGGCACGGAAAGATATACATCTTTCCTAGAAAACAGGGAAGTAGGAATCCTTTGAAGTAGTGGCCTCCACCTAACCCATGCACATCCTTGTAATTTCACACTAACCAGCCTATGACATCAGCCCAGACACTTGAGAAAGTCACAGGCACCACATCAGAAAGGCACAGTATTGTATTTCCCGCCCTAAGCTAGTTGCCACAGCCACAAAATCAGAACTGTGGTATCGTGAAACTGTAGTGAGGGATTTGCACTCCACTCAGAAACCGCTCGTTTCATGGTTTGTAGTTTTGGATAAATGTATTATTTTATGGTAAGTGAACCTATTCCATAACTAAGATATTCCAAGATATTCTGGGGGACGTCTAGAGCAGTACGAATGACCG